CTTAAAACTTATTCATTAAATGGACTCACTATCACGTAAACTAAATTTTCATAACTATTTAAGATACCCTAAATAAAGCTGGGCTTGTACAGCAAGCAAAAATTACCTGTAATTTATTGGCTAGCACATCTAGCAGTTTGCTTTTCATCACTCACAGCTCCTTTTATTTGTGGATATTTTGGGTTAGTGAACTTTCACTCACAAGAATTGCACCAACACAAAAGATCAGTGGGATAATAAAACAGCTTGAATATTGTTTCTGGATATCGAGTGGGAGCCACTTTGCATACACATACTGATTTTGCTAATTTCTCCCTTCCCTACAGAAATCTATTCAAAATGCTATTTTTGTTTATGAGATCCTAAGTTCTTGTTACCAGCTACACAGCTGAAGATACAATCCTCCAATTCATGATATCATAACCTCTCCACAGCAAGCGAGTGCAAAGACATAAGTTGTTGCTTTCAGGCTGGATAAGAATATTAGGATAACGTAAGCCTTTAAGAAACAATAAGCCTGAATTCATGACAGTGCCTCTCATGTAAACTGAAAAATAATGTAACTGAAACAAAGAGAATGTATTGTTCAGAACAAGGAGAACTGATTCTCCAAAGAAATATATTCAATCATCCCCATGTGGGTTTGGCAACACCTCAGAGTTTTTTAAACATTCCTGAACCCAGATAGGTGTTTCGCTGGTGGTTGAAGGCTTTATGGGAACCCATCTGTATGCTAAAACTACACAGTATGTTAAAGAGAGACTTCTACTCTAAAGAGCATAAAAACACATTTGTGGCCGAATGCCTTCATATGTCACAGAAGAGTTTTCTTTCAGTTTTACAAGCCTATCTGATAACTTGTTTACCATTTTCACATTCAGTGCCAGCAACTTCTAAAGATGTTCCACATTTTCAGCATTCCAGATAATCACAGAGCATACCTAGTATGACATCCCTTTGTTACAAAAGCACAGGTGAGCGCACTTACATGCACAAGCACTTTTTCAGGTAGAAAAGGATCTCTCAAGCAACAGCTTAAAGTCATGGGCAAACAACTCATTTTGGGTAACTAACTTCATATATTCAATGTCACATTAATTTATAGTCCATACAGACAAGAACAGTACAGAATGTTGTAACCAGATGACAGAGCTATCCATCCACAGGGACACAGTCTTTTCCATGTGTTCTGAGCTTTAAGACCATCAGCTACAAGAAATACTGTCCCCTTAGTGTACTTTGAGAGTGTTCATACTCAGCTCTGCTCCAAAAAACGTTTCTAAATCTTAGTACCTTACAAAGGAGGCCTGAGACACATAGTATGTAAGCTAACATGATGAGTAACAGAGGAAGAGAATGGCTGTTATAAAAGCATTCATTTTTAAGTAAACTGGGAAGTGATGGGTTAGCAATTAATGTTGATCTGTATGCTATGGTATGGCCCCCTCAGGACACTGGAGGTCTTGCCTAAAAGGAGGAAGCTCAAGGAAGGTGACACATTCAAACACACTACATAAAAATATCACTTGCATGGAAAAACCACAAATTTCCATTACAGGAATGCAAGTTGTGCTAAACGCACACAATCCCCTTCACCCCTCACTGAACAAGTGCAAATGAGCAAATCTTACAGTGGAGCAGGACTTCACTGCATTTCCCACACTGTGCACCCTTGAGCTGAAAAAAGCCACCATTAAAATGAGAACAGTCACTGGCAAAGAAAAAACAAAGGAAGACAAATATCGGAAGAGAATCAATTAAAGACAAAAGGTTTTACATACGTTTGAAAAGTAACAAGGTGCTGTACCATTAACAATCAGTAATGGCAAAGAACAGGCACTGCAGTACTACATCTTACTCACAGGCATATCTATTCATTTCCCTATACTTGCAGAATAAGATAAAATAGCTCAATAAAACACCTTCGTGTAATTGTCACCAGTTATTCCTGAAAAACATTATTCCCCCAAAATAATTTCATGATTTCTATCTGGGAATTAAAAATCTGTGTTTATGTGATGAATGGAAGTCACAGAATAATCTTGTGAGGCCTGAAGACAAGTACAATCACATTAAATTCCCTCAGCTCAAGAAATGTCATCTTTACATCAGCTGGTACAAAAAACTGTTTCCAGCCTGAGGCAGTTACGATAAGGGATTTAGAAGCCATCACCATGTGGCCCATGAGATACAAAGGAATGCACCACAGCATATACAGCGTCTGTTGCTCACCATTTCGGAACTAATGTTCTCACAGCTGTGTGTGACTTAGACCAGCTGGGAAGAAGAAAGGGACTAAATGAGTCGCTGGAAGAATCCAGTATTTTGCCTAACCTGTGTTTAACACTGCTGCAGCAGAACCGTGGGTAAGCAAAATAAGATCTGATGATTATACAGCACGGATGGAGCTGTGGGTTCCCTTGAAAGAAATACACGTAACATGCAGTCTTAGAGAGAGCAAAAATGGTATTTCAGCCATATCCACGCTCTGCTAAGATGCTGCCACCATCTGAACAGCCCTCAGTTCAACCGAGGCAGGTCAGGGGTTACACAAAATGACCGTAGGCCATCTGGCATTCCCAGGCAAGCCTGTGCTGCTCTGCATGTGAGAAGAAGCATTACAAAGTCAGAGAGCAGCCTTGGAGTGGCAACTCACCTCAAGCAGAGGGCTGGCTTTCTGCATCAGGATACACAGAACACCAACAACCCAAGCTGAAATCTTTCCCTTACAGTACGTAAGAGGCTGCAGGCTGCCACAGAGGGATTCTGTCATTAAAACATTTGCAACCTTAGACTTGCAGGCTTGAATAACACTTTTTGAAAGCATGGTGTCAGACTTCAGACAGAGCTCTTGAGTGCAGGAGACTAAAGAGCTCCAGTTGGACACAGGGACCTCACCTTACTGCAGAAATTCATCGCTGTCTCAAGAAATGTTTAAAAGTCTAATGATTTAATTAGTGATGAAGCCAGGTCCTTCTGGGGTTTCTGCTGCCTCAGGGTTCAATTTGCTACAGCAGGTCTGGCTCTTGCATTCTGCAGAGGGATAAATGATGGTCCCCAGGTCTTCCGTTTTTCCTAATGTTTCCTTTGTTCTCTGCCTCATCCCCCTTAAAAATGCATTTTTCTTTGCCACTTCCCCTACCCAAATGCATTTTTTCCTTCATCACATTGCATGCCTGTCATTAATTGTTCAGGCTACGGTTTACGCATAACTTTTCTGTTTACATGCAATGCCACCCAAGAAATATTTGGCATAAGAAAAAAAGAAACAAAAGGATTCTTAAGGTAAATGTGAACTGAGACACACAAAAAAAGGAACACAACAATTCTGCTGCATTTCCTCTATCACTCCAGAGTGCAAATTTCACAGGTTATCAATTTCTAATAAGTTTCACAAAGGATAATTAATTCCAAATTTGTTTCTACAAATATATAACAGATGTACTCTTGAAAAATAAAGCACTTATCTCATACTATATCTCATGGAACTGATTTTTCTACTACTAATAATATTTAATTTTCTTAGGTATAAAAGCCTTACAGGGGGGTGCTCTGAAAGCAATGTCTCCCATTTTATGATGTAGATCCACAACATTACAGTGGATATTGGTGGTATGGCAGTAGAGGTAGAACTTTACTGTCAATACATTCCATTACATTTTGTCGCCTGCTATATCAGTTAAGTACTTACAGCTTAAAAGCATCAATATATGTTACTATACCTTATATCTAATTTTTAATTAAGAGCAAGGTATTTATGTTTGCTTATTAGTGTTCTTTTGTTGTTGCTGCTGTTTTTTTTTTGTTTGTTGGTTGTTTTTGTTTTTGTTTTAATTAATCTACAGGAAAACTTGTCTTACAGTTATGGATATGAAGCCTCTTCAGCTACATTGAAATCAGACACAGTTCTGAAATTGGTTATGAAGTATTAAAGTTAGGGGGGACAGGCAATACACAGACAGTTTGATCTTTGAAGTCTGCTTCCACCATTTTTCACTCCATTCTGAATTACCTTCAAGCATGAGAGTTACTCAAATAAGTGCCTCTATTCCACATTATGAGTGAGCAAATAAAAAAATTTAGAACCATCTCTACCAATATGACAACAAACACAAATAATGAATGCAACTAGATTATTAATTATACCTACTCAGAAATAGAAAGAGAAGTAAAGTTAATCTGGGAGTTGCACTTTCATTTAGTCAAAAACTCCAATTACAGCCCATGAAAGCTTTTTCTAATAAAAATGCACGGGGAAGAAAAGTCCACTTTTCTATCACAACAGTGTAACAGTTGCTAACAATTGCCTAATCCTTCAAGAAGCAGCTTAAAACTTGAGGGTAATCTAGAGCCCTCTTCACACAGCAAGAAGAAATACATGTATTCTGTGTTAGGATTCAGTTCCGAAAATATCTCCATTGTTGTTTTGGTTTCTATTGCTTTCCAAACCCTCAAAATAGCATTCATTCAAAACTGTTATATAGATGGTCATTACTTTTTAAGGACGCCCAGGACCGAAGTAAAGATTTCCTTGGCTCTGCTCAGAGTTGGGTTTTGCAAAGGAATACAGCAGTGCCTTTCCAACCAGCTGCAGCAGCCCCAAAGCTCCACAACTTTTGGATGTTCAACAGTTCACACCACAGACTACAGCACCTGAAGGCTGAGCTGAGCTTGGCTGTGAGGTGTGCACCAACCACATGTGTGCTCCCTTGTCTCTGGCCCTACCAGCTCTGTTCAAGAGCAGTCTTGTGCACTGGAGAATCCAATCCCAGCAATTCTTTCTTTTATCTATATTCATTGACAGACTGCTAGCAAATCTGTTGAACATGGCCAGGAACAGAGGTCACAGCAGTGATGTTTATGGGATTTCCAACTTCAAAGTATTCTGGTATTATTCTCACGCAAATTCAAAAGCATTCCTATAATATTTATGCATGCCAATGCTGCATTAAGAATCATTTTTAATCTTTCAAGGTATCTTTCCATGATATCTTCCTTACCTATGTAGTTTGTCTTCCAGCATCTCCATGTACTTTTCAGCATTTTCCTTTATGCTGGTCGCTGCAAGATAAAATTCAAAAGTTAGATAACGTTATAACTATTTAGTGTTTTTTTCTTTTTTTGTTTTCATTTTGTTTTATATCATCTGATCTCTTACTCATAAATTCCATTAATCATTTCCACATTCACAGTACATTGCATTCCCCCTTTTTCTTGAAAGTCTGTTGTACTGAATTAATATATCTACTAATTAGTGCATCACTGAATTAACCATGTTCGCACCAGAAAAAATGTTAAGATTAACAAATACTGTAGAAGTTCACTCTAGAAAAAGCAAAACAAAAAACACACAATACAGCTATTTCTTCCTCTTCACCAACAGCAGACACAGGCAAGAGATTTCCTGAACAAGAGTCTCTTAAAATCTTATGAAATGTGTATCCATTTTTTCTGACAGAACTGAAACACTGCGGCATGGACAGAGTTTCCAGAGAAGCTTTTAATGACTTAAAAACCAACCAACCAACTTAGAACTGAGGTATCAGCTTCACATGAGTCTCTACAACTTCTTCACATGGAACAAACTCAGCAAACTTCCTGCTCAATGTAACAAAAAATAACAAAGCTATTGCTTGTATGATCCTTGGTACTCCATGTTTAGTATTAGAAGGTAAACCTCCTCCAGGAAAATGGAAGCTTTCTGTGGATCATTACATCATTTTCTTTTTATTTTATCTCCTTAACAGCCTAGTAGGACTGTTAATTGGTTGGTCATTTCGAAACTCTTAGCTCACTGCACACATCCCTTTTAAGATAACTTATTTAAGAAGATACTTTCTATAGAGCTTCACTGTTTCTAAGGGTGAAACTTGCTGCTTGGATTAGGCACTATGAATTTAAATATTCACCTCCTCTTCCCCCTCTTCTTTACAATTCAGTGCCTCCAGTGCCCCACATATTTCTCACTTTTCCCCCTATTATTTTCTCCTCACAACATAAAGATTCACACACTAAAGACTAATATGAAAACACAAAGTTAACCAGATCAGCTGTTCCGAAGTTGCATGTGTACACACACAGAAGCTCATTAAAACTGCTCAGACAATATCATTAGCAGCAAACATCAGGGTATACGTGACATAGATTGTCTTCAGAAGGTGTTCATCTGGTCAGACAGAAGTCATGCATCACTGAAGCAACCTGCATTCTGATGGCAAGCATGGGGCACATTTTGCAATGTTGATGCAGTTGAGAAAGGCTGTCAGATTCATATATATATACATATACACACACATACACACATATATATATACAAATACTAATTCTCTATGAAAGCATCACAATTTTATCCATGGTACCACTGTCAGAATAGGTTTGGCAGTACAACACCTTAAGCCAGCAGGATTATGGAAGATTATGTTGTGTGTGGACAACTGCATTAAATGCTACATTCACAGGTCCATCCTACCATTAGAAAAGTGCTGATGAATGTTAAGCAAAAGGTTATTCAAGGATTTTCACAACAGCACTGGAAACTATACAAGTTTCCTAATCTTGTACCAGTTTTATAATAAGTACAGAGCTCACTAAAAGTTCCTGCTTTCATTATCGTTCTTTTATTCCTGTGCTTCCTGTGGAAGTGCAGAAAGCCTGCAAGTCTTCTTTTAATGACATGGTACAGTTTAATATAAACTACAAGCAGCTTTTCAAAACTCTCTGACAATTGGCAATGTGTTGACCTGTGGTTCAACATACACTTTGATAACAGATAGCTTGGAGGTACATTGCTGCTGTACTTCCCATTCTCTTGCCATTGTCACAGTATCCTTGAACACAAGCTGTTACAACTCAGGGTCTTATTCGTTCCCATAATAAAGTCGGCAAATATTATTAATTTTGGAGAGGAATGAGATGAGGTGGAGAATCTGCTTCACACTCACTTTGTTTCTAACCGATATAGTGACTTCTTACAATACATGAAAGATAAACCTTGCTTTCAACATCTCCTACTGTGCTCGTCACTTTTTAATTGGGTATGATCTGATAGAGTAATTCGCACTTTCACAGCTCAGTCCTGCCCCTACATGCAATTTTACAATGCCCTTGAAGCACACAGCTTAATATATCAGCATTATTCAATGACAAAAAGTAATGGACAAGAATACACCAGCAGTCAAAAGTAGGTCAGTTAAAAGCTAACACTCATTTGGAAATCACCTCACATCACTAAACCGCACTCTCTGCTGTCAAATGTTTTAACTACATTAAAAGGAATGCAAACTTTGCTGCTTAAAGAGAAAGCCACCCAGACTAGCTTTGTCTCCTTGCCACTTGTGCATGTGATTGAAAAAGCTGTGACCTGGAGATTTTGCTTGAAGGAAAATACTGCTTAAAAATTCTATGGGGGTTACTTCCATCGTAACAAATTGCAGGCTGGACTGCAACAAATACACAAATTATTTCAGCTTTTTTAGATCATCTATTTGTAATAGAAGACAACCAACAAATTAGCAGCTTTTTTTGTTCTAGTTTAATGAATCTTTATTCACCAATGCTTCAAAGCACAAAAACTTCAAGCTAGAAGCCATGCGTGCCTTAAATCTAGCTAGGAGAGTACTTGATGACAGACCCAAAAAAAAGTAATAATAATTTATGAGACTCCTTTCTGCATAAACATGCCAAATGGTTTATTTTTATATTTAAATGAATGGGATTGCTTTTTTCATGAGTTCTCTAGAGATTTATACAGTTAGCTCACATTGGCCTTAAGTGGAGTTATTAAAATAAAAATGTATAAATACCTATGGGAAGATGAGACGCTAGGGTATTTGCTAAGATTAAAAATAGACTTTTCTTCTGAAACCTTAATTGAAGAAAAGTGAATTCAGCTTTTCTTTCTCTTATTATATTTATGTTTCTTCCTGCCTACAGCAGCAAAGTCCAGTCCTGGAATCATTCCTGGTCAGATGCAGCTGAGGGGAGCAGCAGACTCCTGTGGTGGTCTTTTAGTTGCCACAGAGTATAAATGTACCATTTTAAAAGCTGCATAAATATCTTCCAATAATTAACCTACACAGCATTAGTTCAAAACATCACGTGTGGTTTCCCATCTGAAAGCACCTCCACTGGGGCAATGTTACAGTTCTTAATTACAGATATGATTTGAGCTTCCATGTAAAGCTTTATTATTTTTATCCTCAGCCTTCGTTGCCACTAACTGTGTTTACAGGGACAATGACACGCGCTTTGCATTCTATAATTAATATTTTCAAAAAATTGTTAACTTGGTACACCTGGAACCCAGTGAAAATTCCAGACGTGAATGCTCAGCACTTCAGAAGACCAGCTCCTTAAAACCAAAGTAGATTCCTCAACATCCCAGCCATTTTGCATGGTCTTCTGCAGGTCTTAAGCATTCCATCACACTAGTGATCCACAACTTGAGTTTCAGGGGGAAAATCACAAGTTCAATTTTGGCCTCCCATATTATCAGAGCTTTTTTCTTGTTCATTTTTCTCTTCTTGTGGGTGAATGGTGACACATTTTGGCATGCTGGAAAAGCTGCAATGGCTGCTAGCAGACACAGACCAAATACAAAAAAAAGTGCCACACATTGCTAGCCTGTGCAGCAAGACCAAAGACAATTCAACTAACCTCTCATTTTCCGATGTGTAACTTTCTTTCTCAAGTACTCAGTTAGTGAAGCAAAACAAAACTCCCAATGATTTCAGTGAAACTTTTGCTCAACTTAAGGAAGTAGGATGAGATTTGGTTATTCAGAATGATATAAAAAATACAAGTATCTGCAAGGACACACATTGATCCAGCTGCCATAAATATCGAGGGAAGAACTAGGTGCAAACAAGGTTGACATTTCTTGTCCTGTCACTATTCTATTTTTGAAACCTATAAAGTGATTACAAACACTAAGAGAAATGCAAAAGCAGAACATGATCAGCTGAAAACATCTTATCTCTCCTATAGTGGAAGATGTGCTGTATTCATTTGTGAAGCTGCAGTCTGAAAAACTGCGGAAAAGCTTCAGTATATTTAAAGGTTAACTTGAAAAGCCAGTCAAACTTCAGAGAAGACGTGTCAGCTACTCAAATACATGTCAAGATGATTTATCAAGCCACAGTAACAAGATTTTGGATTACAGAATAGCAAGGAATTTTGCAACTTGCAGACAGGCAGAGGAAAAACCCTAAGAAAGAACGAAAAAGGCCTGGTTCGAAGAGAGAAAAATAGGCGGTTCAAATAAAGACATGTAAATACTCCAAAAAAATCTAACATTCTGAGTTGACTCTATCAACTACATTCTATTCTGGTTCACTGATTACTTTTTCAGGAACGAAGTAACTACTGAGAAATATTGTTACTACCTGTCTCTTCCAGTGAATATGTTTTGCACCAAGGAATCTGTTAATCCTTTAAATATCATTACAGAACAGAACAAAATTAGCCTAGGGAAATTATTGTCACTGAGATAAGTCAGCCAAAAAATAGGAGTCTAAATGGTCTGCTATTCCATAAATAAGATGACTACACAAAGGTGAATTGTTATGATAAAAAACAGCACTGAACAGCTTACAGTACCACAGTCTCACAAGTAAAGACATAACCCAGAACTGACAGAGTTGAGTATCTACCTAATAGGAGATTCCATAACACAACCACAACGTTTTTTACTCCCTCTGAAAGCACTTGGCCTGGAGAATACCCTGCCACACAAATGCAAAGCTGTACTTTGCAGTTAGATGACACTAGTGGGTTGTTCAAACGCAGTTCTTCTGCTGAGACTGAGCTGTGTGAACTAACAGACATTCTCTACCCCTCTGCATGGATGAGAAACTGAAGCAACTGCTAGGTAACTCAGTAATGTTGATTATTGTAACAATCTCATCCCACAAGATGATAGTGCTTTTCAGGATCTATAACGAAATGCCACTCTGCTGCTTTCACAACTATGGTGGATACAGAATGTTGCATCTTGACCATATGGAAGTTTCCAACACTATTTCCAGGTGCTTTTCCAAGCACTAGGTGGTCGACTGCTCTGA